TAAGAGATTAGAAAAATACCGACGTAAAATATCCCAGTCACCATCCGAACAATCTTTATCGTAATAGTTAGACTTTTTAATAGGGATATTCTTTGATCACGAATTAAATATAGTTTAAAACAATTAAGTATTATAAAAACATGTTTCAAAATTGTATTTTAAAATAAACCCAATTTTACTTAATTTACATTATAAGTAAATATATTTTTTCCATAATTTCTGGTCAAATGATGCTAAGGATTGACCAAAAAAATCAAATTGTGGTAATTTTTTAAGAATGGATGAAGTATTAATGTTTTGAAAAAATGTTCTTATAATTGAACTAGATACTCCCTCCGTCCTAGACCTGGCAAATCGGTCGGTCAGGTCGGGTTCGGGTTCGGTCACCTTGGGTTCGGGTTACTTCGGGTTCGGTTAAGTTCGGGTTCGGGTTGATAACTACATGTTCATGACCCAGTGTTATCGGGTTCGGGTTGACCCAACGGGTTATGAGTTTCATTTATTTTTTTAAAAATTTTAAGTAATTTTTATGACTTAGTGTCAATATTACGAATAAAAAAATTTAAATATGTAGAAATTTTGAAAAAATGTAAGATAAGTATGCGACATCATTAAAATTTGTTATGATGTTATAAATCTATACACAAAAATGAGTAGTAAGCAAAGAAATATAATCATAATCTTATTTTTATAACACTATATTTCATATTAAAATGTATGATTCTGAAAAAATCTTAGATTAGCGGGTCGGTCAGGTCGGGTTCGGGTTCGGTCGGGTTTGACCCATTTTTAGCGGGTCATTTCGGGTTCGGTCAACTTCGGGTTCGGTCAGCAAAACCTTTGTTCAAAACCCAGTATTTTCGGGTCGGGTCTCGGGTCAAAAACAGGTCGGGTCATTTTTTGCCAGGTCTAGCCTAATGAATTAACCCTTTCTTCAACGTGTAAAATTTTATAACTTTTAAAATAACTTAATTTACAAATTAGTAAAGAAAAAAAACTCTTTCCATTCTAGTTATTTGTGTAGTTTGATTTTTTTTGAGTTAAACTGGATGAACTTTTAGTTTCAATTAAATAAATAACGTAATACGGAGTACATTTTAGCTTAAAAATAATCTTATTAGATTTATTTTATTGAGAAATTTCGAAATCTTATCCAGTTTGACTCAAAATAGTCAAACAAGACAAATAAATTGATACAAAAGTAGTATTTAAAAACCGTATTAAAAATTCTATAAACTAAGAGATGATAAGAATATTTTATTTTATTAAATAGTCAATAAAAGCATTCAGATAAATAAGAATTATCAAGAATTTGTAATAATAAAGAGATAAATTGTTTTTGGAGGAAGAGAGTAATAAAATCTAATTATTTCAGTTTAAAAGAAGTCCCAGTCGCATAGATTAATACGAAGCGGATGCACTAATAATTCCAACACAACAAAAAAAACCACTAATAAATTCTCAACACCCCTCCCTCTTTGGAAAACGAGAAACTAGATGGTGGACGTTGCGAAGTTGGCAAAGGCAAAGAATGCTAAGAAGGTAAGATTCAAGTTCGATTTTTGACAACTATACTAAGTGGATAATAATTAAAATAGCATTACTTATGGTAGTATTGGTTATAGTAGTTTTGATTATTAGTCAGCTTCCTATTCCTATTTGTGATAGATGTTGGCTTCACAGGGCCCCTGCAAATACGAGGTGCAGATCTGCAATCAAAGTTCAATTTACCTTCTCTCAGTGATCAAGTTCAATTTACTTCCTCTCAGTGACCATCCAATCATTCTTTAGGGCTTCGGGGATTGGGCTCATCCTCTTTTGGAAAACGAGAAACTAGTGTGTTTTTTATGGGGTCAATTTCAAGAAAGCCCAACTGCTTCCATGTTTGGTAGTACCATTACTATCCCATTGGGTGTGACCTACAAAGCCTCTTGGAGCAACATCAAATTTAGTAATGTTAGGGGTACATCAAATTATACTCAGGTTGTACACTGTCTCTCCCTCAACCATACATTTCTAATTAGATCCTGGAGAAGAAATGATGTATAACTTAGGTGTATAACTTAGAGTATAATTTGATGTACCCTATATATTTTTAGAAAAGAGTATAGGCCCTATCTTAGGGCCCCGCCAAGACCAATCCACATAATAGTTTGAGACGGGTGAGATACGTGAATTCTAGATTGATCAATAAGAAGTGAGATCTTTATGTTATACGTGTATGGACCTAATGCTACACATAAGCATCTTTTATCGCCGTTACGAAGGGTCAAACCAGAACATTACCTCTTTTATACCCTTATTGACCAACTAAATTACATCTTGAGCGTGTGAAATTTGAATAAGTAAGCTACTCATTCCAAGGGTGGTCATAGCTTTGTCCCAATGTTTTCACACATGTGCACAAATAGTAAATAATATTGCTGTCTGAATTTGTTTGTGTATGTAATAGTATGTGTGAATAGAAAGATGAGGTAGATGTTCGAGTAAAAAAGCCTTTAATTGGAACACTATATGACCGGGTATAGTCTTGGGTATCCGTTGGGTACTGGATTTGGGTTGGACATTATAACTGTGAGTGAGTGAGTGATTGAGTGAGATGCATATATGCAGTGCTTTGAGCCAAAAAAAAGGGTCAGACAAAAGGCAGTGCAGTGTAAATGTGTAATTAAGGAGCTTCTGCTATATGGTGCTTTGGACATGGCCAGGCATAGGTCTCATCAAATCACTGTGTTTTATATTGGTCAATATTGAATTGAATACTCCATTTCAATTTTCTTATTCCACTTGTGAGTAATACTTCCTACCTATAAAAAATTACTCCGTCAATCTCACCTTCATAGAATTTAATTTTACCGGATATAATTCTCACGCAACCTCTCAGGGGTTACGGGATCAATAATGAATAAGAGACAAGAATATTGAATTTAAAAATGAGAATGAATGAACTTGCATTGTGATGGGCCGCTACCTACCACGCAGCCCGACCCGTATGCCGAGGAACGTTTTGGAGCCCATCGACAACCCAATGTCAGTGTCGGGCCGGCCCAGGGCATTGGGCCCGAGTTGACCCGGATCAAAGAGCCGTTGGCGATATGCTTGCTAGGAGGAGCCCGCGGCTAGGTTACGAAAGATGAGTCGCAGAAATTGGATCGCGTGATTCGCGGAATTAGCTTCTATAATAAAAAATCGCTCTAATTATGTAAAGGGATATGTATAAAAAGGAGGGATCCTCACAAGGAATCTCAAGCAAAACCTAGGGTATGACTTTGCAATTCTCGAGTTCTTTGATTAATAATAATATTCTTGTAATCCGCCCATTGGGTCCTCAGATGATGAGGCGCCTGCCCAGAAGGCGAAGTAGAACGCCTAGCCAACAGGCGAGAGTAGGAAGAAGAAGGATTTTGGGAGGGATCCAAATCCCACAGATTATCAGGCGAACAGGTCGCCAGTCCATGCGGTCTAGGCTTTACCAGCCCCTCTGTAACACCCTCCATCACATGAACCTGGTTCGTCGTAGCCCAACAAGCCGAAGGGGTTACACAAATGGTATTTAGGACCATCTAAATGAAACTTCATGAATTAAATGTTGTAAAACTTAAACCCTTGATATTTTTATTCAAATAAAAATCGTTGGGAAATTAATTCCCATAAATGATTGGAGTAAATGTAATATTACGTTGCGGAAGCATTAGAAAAACCAAACGTTCAGTCCAAAAGTATCTGCAAAAAAATATATACAGATACTTTTAAAGATGACCTAAAGGAAGACGTAGTTTATGTCTTGACAAAAATCAAAGTTCAACGCAACTTCTAAACGGCTTATACTATTAGTCATCCTTATATGCTACAATTTTTGGCAGAACTAAACTCCAAGAAATATTTTTAGATTAAACTCTAAAAAAATAATATCAGATTAAAAAATCTGGCCTTGCAACGCATGGGTGTAATGCTAGTTTGTGGTTAGTCCTCGTGAATCATTTATAGGGGTGAGCAAAAGTACAAAACCAATTCTAGTTTCTTTTTTTTTTACACAGAAAAATGCTACTCCCTCTGTCCCAATTTAAATAGTCTATTTTGACTTTTGGGCATATTTAAGGAAAATAAAAAATAGAATTAATTTTTCGAAATTGACATTACTTTTTAGGAGGGGTGATGATGAATGAGAAGATAAGGTGAAGAAGAGTAACTTATTTTAGGAATAGTTTAGGTATTTTATTTTTAAAAGTTTACGAAAACAACTAACAGACAAATTATTTTGGGACGGAGAAAAAAGGCAAACAGACAATTTAAAATGGGACATAGGGAGTACAAGTATATTATAAAATGTCACAAAAAACCAAATCAAACAAACATTCAGTTTGATATTTGGGAGTGGTACGTGATAATTTCTAATACCAAAAATCAATAAACAAACATATATACTAATATATTATAAATATATTAATCTTTTTATATTTCTTCATTAAGTAATAAGCTTAATTGTTTTGGGAATTCTCTTTAAGTTTTACTCCGTACGTGTATACTCTGTGAGTTATATCTTATTTGAGGTTCAATTTTTTTATAAATTTAAAAATATTAAGAAGTATTTGGAATATTGTTTCGCTACTGTTTTTATTTTGAGTTTTTGAAATATAGCATGAATGATGCTTTTGTGGTAATAAGATCCACGCGTGAAATATGAGTTTCCTCACATTTTTTAATAAGTTAACATGTGTATCTTTTCCTATTTGTAATAGGCCCAACGTTTTTGTGGTTTGCACATAATAAGGTTTATTAAGTTTGTGTGGACACAAGGACCAAAAAAACAATTGCTAAATTTCCTCCTAAGCATTTCTTTGTTTTCAATTTGGTATGTTTCTCTTTTTAAATGTACTCTTGATTGTTCAAAAAATGGTTTTGTTACATTTTTAAATGTAAATTATATACGAATGCATTCGTCTTGATTTGTAACAAAATGTAACTATTCGAACTGATATTACAGAACTAACTAAGATCGATACGATGTAAAATTTATATTGAATCATAGTTTTTGGTATGATATCAGTTGCGGTATGAGCTAAGTTCCGTATCATATCCTATCATACTTGCCCTAGGGAAACATGCAAAAACAATAATCACTACATACATCAAATAAATACTCCGTAAATGCTAAGAAAAGCTGAGGAGGAATATATTTTGATCCGAGAAGTCAGATTTCAATCATCCATTTCACTCATGGCTATATGCTAAAGATAAAGAAAATCAACATATGCAAATGAAAAGCATAGGATATATTAATGGGCAAGTAGGCATCACTATGCCTTGGAATTAGAAATGGCCTCCTTGGCGGAGTCAAGGGTGGACACAACAGAGGCTGCGGCGTTGGTCAAGACGGCGCCGCTTGTTTTCTTGTCATCATTCGGCTGATGGATTATCTCCACCGCCCTCTTTTCTTGGCTCTGCCCCGCCGATGACCGGAGATCCACCGTTTCCACCTTCCTTTCCACTTGACCTTGTGAATCCATACGACCCTACCTCCCAAACAACTTATTAACAAATTTTAAGAAATAATCAACTCCCATCTATAATAGGAGCAAAACATTGCACTATGACATGTGACCTTAAAAGTATAAAAGAACAAATCTTCAGTATTATATATTGGCATTATAGATTATAATTTGGAAATAAACATATAAAATTTCTATTTTGATTATTGTCGCTATATTTTACTCTTAGCTTAATCATTTTTTCTTCCCACTCATTTATGGAGTAATAATCAACTTAATCTTGGCCTTCACGGGATTTAGAATTCCAATATAATCCAAGTTTTCAACACTCTCGGTCTGAATTTATTTTGCTCATTTGATTTAGGAAAATACTTGGTTCACAAACAAAATTGTCACAAACTTTACAAACTTACTATTTGTGAACTTCAATAAATAAAATTAAATAGTCTAAACTAATTATAAAATGAAAATTTAAACCATAAATAGTAAGTTTGTGAAGTTTGTGAGTATCCTATTTGTGAACATAGCATTGCTCTTTGATTTATATATCCCTACATGTTCGAATATATTCCGTAATATTTTGACTATAAATACATATTATTCCTAATCTCTCGTACTTTTCTTTAGTGTTATGTACTATTCACGTAATCAAAATAAAAAAATCTTGTTTTATTCTCTATGTGTTATATAATTATTCGTACGGTTGAAATAACATAATAATCTTGGCATATCACTCTTATGATTTGATTGGAACGATTTGAAAATAACGTCAAACACTATATATAAACACTAGAAGAAAATCACATGATTAAGGGATTATATTTGTACATAATCAAATAACATGGAGTATATATAGAAGTATGATAATATATGGACATTATATTTTATATCTAGATGTACTAGCTGGAGTATATTGTTAAATCTCTCTTAAAATTTATGAATTTTGACCCTAAAAAATTAAACACGCTATATAAATTGGGATTGAGGGATGGATAATTACATTCAAATGTTCCAAGATCGTGAAAAAGCAAATACAATTGAAAAAAAACTCTGAATTGAAGTAATTAAGGTGTAATATATATATAATTCAGAATTATTGTTTATGTGAGTATTTTTAATTTTACAGATAGATTACATTAATAAACAAATGGATCCCATGCATGGGATCAAACCTGCAGGAGATTAGTATGATCTATTCTTTTGCTTAGTGCAGATTTGTATTAATTATATATATATATATAAAACACTTAATAATTTGAAATTAATAATACCTGGCTAGTGGATGTATTCATGGTGGAAGCTTGCTAGCTTTTTGGGGAATGATTTTTTTAATATATTTATGAAAATGGATGGTATCGAAAATATTTTTCTTTATAAAGTGGAAACTTAAATTTGATGTTCTTAATTACATGCATAAATGTGGGTGATCATTTGTTCTGGTTTTCGTGGGATTAGGAAGAGCGGGTCATTAGCGTAGGTGTCTGGCTCAAGATTTGTTTAGCAAAATTTTGTCCGCAAATAATTCTCTATAATGTCTTTGGCATAGCTTCAAAATATATACCTCCCATCAAACTTTTTCACCTTCGAAAAAATGAGAGTAAAACAGTTTAAGTGCTATTTAAGAAAATGACTTAAATTTTACTGCTATTTAGTGTAAATATTTCTTGTAGAATCTATTTATTTAATTGGAATTGACATAAAACAAATTACGTCTTTATAGGAAAAGAAAGTATGAAGCCACGCACCATCAATTTTTTATTTCAAATTTTAATAAAGAAAGCTTAACTACTCTGCAATCTGCACGGGGATTAATAGCACAAAAAGCATACCACTTAGACCCAAAACCATGTAACCCAACCCATAGTTTTTAGGCAGGAACACTATTCAATTTTGCCTCTTAACTTTGTATAGATAGAGATAGAAATATATTTTATTTGATCAAGTAAAAATTTTAATTAATAATTTAGCTCCATTACATTTAATTTCACTTCAATGTAATCGAATTGTATGCAATTTCATTTATTTTAAGGTTTTGAAGCATTAAAAAAATTTATGTATCTATAAAAACAATTAATCAACCCCAAATTTATGAAAAGTTAGATGTTTTAAAGAATCCTTAAGTTGATAAAAAAATTAAAGATAACACATTAATTACATAAAATAATTGGTTTTATATTATCCATTTTTATGTTTAAGGTTTTATCTTGCAATTACAAAAATTAGTTTTTTTACGCGTTTCGTTTTATTTTGCAATTACATTTATTTTGTATAAAATAAATTAAATTAAAATGGTTTATGTTTTTCTTTTTTTACATTTTTCGGTTTTTTAGAAAATAATTGCAACTAATCTTTGTTCTCAAAAAAATAATTGTTATTGGTTATATTTGTCTGATTTTTTCATTAGATGGATTGAGTTCAAAGTATTGAAAGTGAATCTGAGATTTCAAAATTCTCTTCCAGACTATTCTCTATTTCTATCCACCCAAATGGTAAAATCTAGAGAAGAGAGTATTAAGACTCTCACTCAAACTCTCTCCACTCTCATTGGGGATGCCCTAAAGCCCCAAGGACCCCCTACCCCTAAGCTAAGAGGACTATCCCTTGAAATGGGCTCTACCGAATGACTAGCCAATTGAAATGGCCTCTTTGGGGCTCAACACACCAACGCGTAACTTCCCTTTGGAAGAAAATAAAGCATTTGAACCAGCACATTTTTTGTAGATAGGAAGGTGCAAACTTGATAAAGACTTTCCATAACAGCTGGTACACTAAATAAAATTTGTTGTCTATGTCATTCACGATTCACCCACATGGAGCAACATTGTATGAAGTATATACCTCTCGGGCAATTGAGGCAGGACAAAAAAAACATCATTCTTGAAGTAATAGAAGACATCAGTAAGTCACGAGTGGCGATCCGCTGCAATGGACATCTGAAGCATCAGTGATCTTTTGCCTTGGAGACAATGTGACACTAGCAGCAACATCAACATCAGCATTGATGATTATTTTTCTCTTCTGGTTTTCAACTCTCACTTTGTTGTTGTCCGTCTCATCTTCGTGTTCGTCCACTTGTTGGTGTTGCTTGGAGATGATGGCTTGAGCCTCTGCAACGAGTGTTGCATCGTCATCTGTAGCATACAGAATCTTTTTCAATGCTTCAACCACCTGCAGACACACAANGGCGATCCGCTGCAATGGACATCTGAAGCATCAGTGATCTTTTGCCTTGGAGACAATGTGACACTAGCAGCAACATCAACATCAGCATTGATGATTATTTTTCTCTTCTGGTTTTCAACTCTCACTTTGTTGTTGTCCGTCTCATCTTCGTGTTCGTCCACTTGTTGGTGTTGCTTGGAGATGATGGCTTGAGCCTCTGCAACGAGTGTTGCATCGTCATCTGTAGCATACAGAATCTTTTTCAATGCTTCAACCACCTGCAGACACACAAGTGAAACCAGGGCAATTCCATATTCGATCAGTCCATGTAATAGTTTCTCTATGAACGGTAGTGCAGATATTGAGAAAGAACTTTACGGGTAGGTTTTCGATCTCGGGGCATTGGCACACAATTTCAATATCCCTCAGCTTAGCAAAGTAGAAGTCCCTCTCCCTCTCCAGACTATCCACAGACAACTTCAACTCTGTAATCTGCATTTCACCAAGAAAAAAAGGTTGAGCATTCGTACTTCAATGCTCTTATGGAGAACTGTTGGAAGTATAAGCTTTATTAGAAACCTGTTGTTCATGTGCAGCCTTTTCTGTTTCAGAGTAGACGGAGCGGCCTCCACTTGAAGATGGCCGAGATGTCTTTCCAGAAAGATTTGTGGTGCTTGTATTGGTAGTATCATTCCTACGGCCATTGGGTGGGACATGATGCTTGGTGGAAGCTGAGGAAGGCTTCGCCGAAACTTGTGATGCTGCTGCAGATTTCTTGTTCACTTCCTTTCCACCCTTGCTGGCCTCTCTTCTCTCTAGAGCGTTGTAACTACACATTGAAGTTTGAAAAAACCAATTGAAGTTTGATGATCACAACCTAACTTTGAAAGCACAAATTGGTGTAGATAGTCATGAATGCCAACTACTTCAGCATATTTAGTTCAATCAGGAATTAAAAAAACTTCCATTGCAACTCTATAGCGTATAGGAGCAAAAGCTTTAGCTAAGAGTCATCAAGCTACCCATTAAACCAATCAAATAATCACCATCACCATCAATTATCCAAGAAGATTGTTTTAAAAAAACAATTCAAGAATATCCAGATCAATTAGACCCACTTAGAATATCCAGATCAAACAAACCCACTAGATAGTCATGAATGTCAACTAGTTCAGCATATATAGTTCAATCAGGAATAAAAAAAACTTCTGTTGCAACTCTATAGCATACAGGAGCAAAAGCTTTACCTAAGAGTCATCAAGGTACACATTAAACCAAACACCATTACCATCAAGGATCCAAGAAAATTGTGTTAAAAAACAATTCTAGAATATCCGATCCAGACAAAACAAACCCACTAGATAGTCATGAATGTCAACTAGTTCAGCATATTTAGTTCAATCAGGAATCAACACACTTCCATCGCAACTCTATAGCATACAGGAGCAAATGCTTTACCTAAGAGTCATCAAAGTACACATTAAACCGATCAAATAATCACCACCACCACCAAAAATCAAAGAAAATTGTGTTAAAAAAGAATTCTAGAACATCCAAACCAAACAAACCCACTTGCATAAAGCACGGATTACATGTTAATGCATATCCCTGTCAGGATTTTAAAGTCAAGCTAATTAAGGGAAGCAGATAGAGAGAACAAAAACACAAAAATCAAATTCATGAATTTACTTGAGTGCAGCTCCTCCTCCTCCTACAGAATCACAGTAGCGCTTCATCCACTGCATAAACTCCAGGTTATCCAGAGGCCTTCCTTTCACCAGTTTGCTCACCTCAATATGCTGATGACAACACACGATTGATTAAATACACAATCATGAACGATAGAAACTATGTACGAGAGCAATATTAATTTCCTTATAATCCATCTTTCACTCATTTAACATCAGGAAATTTTGTAAACACCAAGAAATCAATTGACCAGTAAAAAAACACGGGGAAAAGCAATTCAAAGGGAGGGAGAGGAGAAACCTTAGTAATTTTGAGCTTGTTGAAGACATCTTGAAGGACCTTGTAGTTCTGGATCATTTCGTACTCATTCTTCGCATCAAAATTGACCTTGTGCATCGGGACCATCCCAGGATGAACAGCATCCATCAATTGGCACTGGACCGCGCCTGTACATGCCTGCAAAAGCGATGGAAGTTCCCCTCAAATCTCGAATCTGAATTTGTCTACAAGGAAAAAAATAAACGAAGGCTATATACCTCTTCGACTTTCGAGATACTGAGATGGAGAGTGGAGTTGATCCAGGAAAGGATCTCGGATCTGCCGATGAAGTAAGCGGAGTCCATCATTCCAATGTTGGATGCCATTTGCTCCTCTTACCTATCGCTCCCTACGCTCTGCCAGCTATCAAATCGGAGAATCCGGATTCTGGTAGCCGTGTGCGGCGGCTGTGAGTCGTTGCTCCGCCTTGGAACGACAAGTCTGAACTCGAGTTCTAAAGGGAGGAACTGCGGAATAACGACAAGGGGGGGAGCGTGAGTATTTGAATTTTGAAAGTCCGCCAGGTTGGTTCACTTGATTGTGCAACGGATGGGAAATGGTTGTTGAATAGCTTAAGGTGATTCGCCAAACATCTTTTAAAATAGAAAATAAAAAAAAGTGGGCAAGAGTAAAAAAAGTTAAATAAATAAAAATAAAATAAAAATGAGTGGTGGAAAAAGGGACTAGGGACAAATGGGGTACACATTTGGTGTACCTCTAGCATTGCTCTTTAAAATATAAAGGCAAGGGAACATGAATAGTGTTTTGTCGTTCCAGTATATGGTCGGGTTTGGTTATATAAGATGGATAATTTTATAGGAGGTCATGAAAACATTATGGCTTTCGCATTCCGTTATGTGTTTAGTCAGCCTTTGGCTAGTGTGCTACATGGTGAAATCAAACAATTCATTTTATAGGTAGACACGATATTAATTATTTTGCATAGAAGAATGTGTGGTGACAGCTAGATTTGGATTTTGTTAATGTAACATTTTGCTTTATAAATCAAAATGAAGGCTAGGTTATGACATTGGGTTCCATCCAACTTTATGGGGTAACGTGAGGACATAATGATCTTTGCACGGGAGTGTGTGTATTGGTGGCTAGACTTTGTTTTTTTTACAACTGGAATTACTAAATGCCTTAATGGGTCGGCACATTAAATCATGATGGTAGGGCAAGAGGGCTAAATATACATCCATTTTGTGGCATGGACATGATTAATTATATCATGTAATTATGTAAAAGCATACACAAATAAAACTTATCAAAATACTAAAATAGTAAAGAAAATGGTAATGCAGGGAGATGAAATATATGATTACATAAATACCAACTTTGTTAGGTTTTTTAGTAATAGTTAATTTTATTTAAAGTTAAAATATAGTATATCTTCTACATGAGTGCATTAAAACAAAAATATTCACAATGATTTTTTATATACTAAGTAGTTAGGATTTACTTAGGAGTTCTTGAGTCTAACATTTTATCTTTGTACTATATTGACAAAGTAATTAATTTCATATATGTTCATTTTTCAAAACATTTAAATATATATATTATGATAATAATATATATTTCCCCGTGTATAACACGGGTATAGGATCTAGTATGCATAAAAATAAAAATGTCACTTGACCTGACATTCCTAAAGGCCCATATAGGTCAGTGGACGTTGCGCAGTTGGCAAAGACAAAGTTACATATTGGTAAAGATAGAGAGTGTGAAGGGGTAGATCCGGCTCGATTCCTAACAACTGCTTTGAGAGATAATTGTGTTAAACATAGGGTCTCTGTAAGTACTAGGTACAAACTCTACTTTCTGTTAGGCTACCCTCGGCGCTTGGGATGAGACTCATTCCTTTTTTTTGCTAAAGGCCTAGACGGGAAAAAAAATTCGGTTTTAAACCAAATCGAAGTGAAATATACTCAGTAAGAAAAACACAAAATATAACCTTTAACTTATAAATATATAGAATAAATCTACTTGTAGTCTAAAGATTGTACTCAAAATATACTCCAATGATTTACATTTATATTTTGTGTCCATGTAAATGCAAGATTGATGTCTAATTGACACAAAATGTTTGTGTAAAATTTACGATAGTACTGATATTTTGTGTCAATGTAAACCATCAAAATTTAAGTGTAAACTTTTGGAGTTCTATCATGGGGTACACCTAGCATGGTTAAAATATATAATATTAAAAAAAAATTATGGGATGATAATACAATATCACATTATTGTCCTAGTGCAAAGTTTAATTTAGAAATGAAATTATGATACTCCTATTATAAAGATAACAACTATGTTTTTTATTAATATTATAATAGAGTCTAGCATTAAAAAAATTACCTACTATGTTTTACTCTTATTTTTAGTTATTTTTTATAACTGGACTATGATTATTTATAAAAGTGCTCCATTTTTATTTAGTCCATCCGTCAAAGAATTTCAACACACTTCGAATAACATGCAAAATCTCATCTTTTTTAAAATTCTTTTATTTATAAATTGGTACATAAATAAAAATATAAATTATCTATTTTAAAATCACATCAAAAGTTTTATAAAACAAGATATATGATTAATATTTTATTTTATTACATGTCAACAAAAATGTGTAATCAAACAAAAGTTATCAAGAATATAATCCATAATAGTAACTGTGACAATAACTTTAGACCAAAGGGAGTAACTAATACTACGTTTGTCTCAAATAAATCGTCTCATTTTCTTTTTTGATCCGTTCCAAAATAACTTGCATACTTTTTTACTTCCTCAATAAATTTGGGTTGGAGGGAGTACTATGGTACTATATACTCTCTCACCTTCAAAATGAAGTTCTTCATTTGGTTTGACACATTCAAAAGAAAAGAAATTATGTGGTTAAGATTGATGTAAATTAAAGAGAAAGATTGTGAGTCATAGTAGGTTTTTAAACCTAAAAAGAGGAGTCTTTTTTGAGACGTTGAAAAAAGAACGGCGGATGGAGCAAATAAAATCTGAATATTGCAAAAAAGAACGACGGAAAATAAGTTTTTTGTTCAAAACATGAATCGGAAATATGAAATAGCTATTACATTATTAAACGAAAAAAAAGAACAAAAACTAATAAAACAATGTACTAGTTATTACTACGTCTACGTACTCGTACATCCATGTTATTTTTTTTGGTAAATTTTTCATTCGCAAGTTTCTATTTGTTTTCCAAGACACTATTCATCAAATGTATTTTAAATTTAGAACAATTCATTTGAAATAATGTGTATATGTCTATATAGTACTCCCTTCGTCCTTATTTTAATCACATGTTTTGGGTAACGATGTTTAAGTCAAGTTATTTTCTAATCATTTTATATAAAAATGATATATAGAATTTAGAAATAAAAATTACTATATACTTAAAAACTACATAAAAAAATCTACAAAACTAATAATGACATTACTATTATTTTATTAAATAACTAACAAAAATAAAAGAAAAAAAAGTCAATAAAATTTGACCATGTGAATAGTTGAACAAACAATTTAATTTGAGATACTAGTAAAAAATATATACTTGCTCTTTTTTTGTTGATTCTTCAAGGCTATATCATACAGGGTATATTATTACTCCGTATTATCTTGGGTACTGCTCATCGATCATAGGCACGAAACAAATGTTTTGTTTCTAAAGATAAATGTGTCTGCAATGCACAAAAAGGCATTAACAACTTATAGTTTGGGAAAACTAGAGTAACGTACTCCAGTATAAGTATTTAGGGTGCAATACTTAGGCTACAATGTTTAGGCAGTATAATCACAATTCCAGTAGATGATTGCCACTTAGAAAGATAAACAAAAAATTTGCAGTAGCCAAAACTTAGGACTTACAAACAATTTCATGTTTCTATTTTGTTATTAATTGTTTAAGGCAAAATGTACCGAATATAATTTTGAGCAGGCCTTAGAATTCTCAGGACCGGTACTATGCACATGCGTTTTTCAAACAAGCTCTCAATGAGAGAGTTGTGTGATTTCGCACTACTTCTATCTCATCTGTATCTATAATAAGCACATACATTTCCCTTTTGCAATAACAATGCACAATCAATTATGAAACCTTCTTTTCACACTGACAAAATACAAACAAATGCATTTATCACCACAAAGTATTTGCAATCAAAGTATCGTGAAATACCTTTCATATATGAGTTTGAATTTTAGTTTACTTTAGATATCGAGAAATGAACCATAACCAGCAAATTGCATTGCAACAAGTTGATCATTCAGCATATACATTGCAATGTAGGACTTACGCTTCATACTTCTTCCATTTGAGATTTAGCTTTCGCAGCATAATACATAGTGAGAAAGAATGTATGAGTTGTGGGTGTGAACCAGATGGGGATCATGAAGTTGTTTGCATGGTGGTGCATCGAGTGGCATTATGCCTTCTACAAATCATAACTACATTTCGCAATCGGTTAGCTAGTTTTGAGATATTGTCTTTCCAGGACCACGTAGGGTCATTAAGAGCACGGATGGAATTCAAGCACACAAGAAGTGTTCCACCTTCATGTAGAAGCACCTGCCATGGGGATAATCACAAAGAAACATGATATGATGTCATAATAATGCTTGCTCTCAAGGATAAAAATTGAAATAGAGGAAACTGATTAGAAGAATAAAAATTTAAGGTCTTTGGTATCATTCCTAGAAGTGATCAAGGGATCTTGAAACTTATAAATTTCATAAGTGATTTTGAAAACCGACAGAGTATTAGTATGTTTTCAGGTATTTAGTTACAGAACATCAGCAACAACAAAACCTAGTATAATCCTATACGATTTAGGGTCTGCGGGGACATGATACATGCAACTTGACCGCTGTAACAAAGAGGTTTTATGTTAGACCTTTGATGTATTGTTGCAATTATTACCCGAAACCTCAAGAATAATAAAAAAAGGACGGTTAATGTGCCTTTTTTGGACCGCTATTTACCAACTAACTTATTAATTCTCCCATAATGCAAATTCTAATGAATCTTATACTGTTGGCAGACATCCCCCAACCAAATTCTGAAGAGAAGTTTTGAAGAAAAAAATCATACCGTTAGCCACAAGGGGAGAAATCCCATAACCGATGTAAGTGAGGCAAAGGCAATGCTAGACAATGCAAGAGCCACATTTTGCTTAATCTGAAAAGTAGAGCAACAATACAAAATGACAATCAGAACACAACAAGCATCTTCAGTAACCATATGAGAAAAAAAGAAGATACCAGCGATGTTGTTTGCCGAGATTTAGCCACACAGAATGGAACACCAGAAATATTGTCTTGCAATAACAGGACGTCTGCAACAGCTATAGCTGATGCACTGGCACGTTCAGCTAGAACAATGCCAACAGTAGCAGCAGCAAGAGCAGGGGCATCATTGATACCATCGCCTACCATTATTAGCCCCCCTGCAAAAAAAGTACACAAATATTATGTGACAAATGACAAATTACAAATGAATTGAGACATTAAGGCTATGTATTATGTTTGAACTTTGAACCCCGGAAAATGATATGGAAAGGGATAAAATTGCTATGGACTGTTACTTTCGGGTTTTGGGCTGCAATGGAAAATGCAAAAGAAAATGAAATACATATACTATATACTCTTAATTATTTTTCTATAAGTCTATGTATGTTTAGACTTTAGATTCCTAAGAAGTTCTATGGTGGATCTAAGGTCCACATGGACCTTCACACATATTTTTTTATTTTTAAAAATGCTTATTTCAACACTTGGAAAATGCTTATTTAGCATATATGACGGTCAACCATGGACCTAAGGTCCATACAATAATTTGCCTAGATTCTTTTAGTCTTTATACATGTTTCCGTCCAAATTATGCCCCTACATTTTCCTCGCATTTTCTTTCTTTGGCATTTTTGGAGTTACAACAACAAGAACCCAGTTGAAATCCCACAAGAGTAGAGTCTGGACAGGGTGTGTCATGTGTGTACGCAGACCTTACCTCTACTCGAAAGTAGAGGCTGTTTCCAAAGAGACTCCTGGCTCAGCATTGAATATTGCATTGATTAACTCACAGTGGGACCTCATTAATTAAAGAAGCACAGACCAAAAAATAGTCCATTTCTGGAGTTACAAATGGACCCTAAATTTTTGGATGTCAAAATCTTAATGCATTTGAAAACCGAGAACTTGTAAGATCCAGAATATCAATGCAAATTTGAATGAGAAGAAATATCACCAGATTCTCTTGAAATTCTTGTCACATGATATAGCTTATCCTCGGGTTTAAGGCTACAGTAAACCTCTTTGATGCCCGCAACATTTGCAACTCTCCATGCGCTTGCTTCATGATCGCCTGTTAACATCATTACACGAAGTTCTCCTTGGTCATGTAATGTGCGTATGACATCTGGAACCCCAGGTCGAGGCTTATCTTCGAAGTGAAAAAGAGTAACCTATACAAAACTTTTGAACTTAGCTTCGGAAGTCTTTGGGAAGCCGAAGGTTACACAAATAGAGAAGAGTGCTATAAAAAAGAGAGTTCAAAGACTAGTGAAAACTATGGGTATATCATTCTTGTCCAACTTTCTTTGGCAACTTTCCTTTCTTGAGGATAGAAAACAAGGAAATAAGATGAATCTATTTTCTTATTTTCCTCTCATGTATTGGATTGGAGGAAAATACAAAGCAAAAGAAAAGAAAATTTTCCAAATGGGATTGTTACATACGCTGCATGCAAGTGAATTCGAAATATATTTTTTCCCAAGTCGCATATGCAGTGTGCAAACTCCAGAGCGTCATATTAAGCTGATGACCAAGAAGAAAAATGCCGTAGAAAGTTGAAACTTGAAACCAGAAGCAGAAAATTGAGCTAATGAGCAAGAATAATTTGAAGGAAATATGAGGTTAAAATTGTTTCTATTACGATTTATGAATCGTAAAATTTTCCACATAAATTTCAGATTATCTCAAATTTGGAGAGAAAATGAGAAGAGGAAATTAGTTTTTATTTTCCATTCATTCCTTTTTATCTCTTCTTTCCCAAACAAGAAACACAGTTCTCTCATTTTGCTCCTATATTTTATCTTTCCCAAATGCAATGTAAAGGAAAACACTTCACCTTTTTATTGTTAACAGAAAGAGCAGCACGAACAAAATCTACTCCATAAACAGATGTCCTTACAGCCTCCTTTATCTTGCTTGATTCATCTTCAGACTGGTAAAGTGATGTGATATATTCAATAGAACCCAGTGAGGCTTTCATTGGCTTACTGCCTACAAGTCCTGCCTAAAACATAAAATGAAAGGAGCTATAACTCAAATGCCTTCCTGTAGATAAAAAGGATCTTGTGAACCCAAATTAAGCAAAAAAGTATTGATGTGTTAGGTTATAAATAAAGGCACTCAATTAAGAGGAAAAAAAAACACATTAGTTTGGGATATTTTTGGCTTTAATGGGGGTGCCAGAATATATTGGTTGAGTTTTCCTTCGGGGCTCTTGGAGAGTTTTCTTTGGAAACTCTTGATCCATCTTTCCTTTGAGTTATTAATTTAGTATATTGCATTTAAATATTTGAGCCTCTTTATTCTATCAAAACCAAAATGCATTCATGATCCATGCACAAAGATATGCTCCATCTGTTGTGAGAACTGTAGTTCAAGATTTTTAGGCATAAATAATACCCCTGCCATCTTTGGCAAACCTTACAGTTTGAGTTCCAAGCTTTTAAACATTAATAATACTCCTTCCATCGTTGAAAGAACCTTACAGCTTGACTTCACAGAGTTTTAAGAGAAGTTTTGAAAAGTGAAACGTGTTTGGTACAAAGTCAAGAGTGTGGTTGAAATGCATTTGGAAGAGAGAAAATTAAACATGTCCACATATTTATTTCCTAGACCTAGAAGGGGAAGTGGAAAAGTGTAAAGTTGATTTTTAGACGTCCAAATAAGGAATACGAAAAGTTCATTCAAAGACGAGCGTAAATTTTTCTAAAATCAAGAAAAGAATACTATAGTAGAACTAGGTTACCCGTCATTGATCCATTAAAGATAGACAAAGTACCACGAAGCATTTCTAGTTCAAGGACAAAAGCGGAGAACTCACAACAAACTGCAGAGAAAAGCATAGAAAGCACAAAGCACAGCAAAAGAGGCACATAGCAAGTTAAGGGAAAGGAGAGGGAAAAAAACAATGGAAGAAAAGAGTAGCGAAACAAAAGAACTAAGCAAAGAAAGCGCACAATACAAGTGCAAGAACTACCACGGAGCCCAATAGCCTAGCCAACTATCCAAATCCTAGCTCTATAGATGTTCCTATATAAGGTCATATCCTATTATCCTAAGAAATGCCCAAAAATCTTAGGTCATGTATAAACACTTCCTTCCAATTCTCCCTAGGTCTACCCTTTTCCACACTCTCGCTCACCACCCTTAGGCTCTCACATCTCCACACCTGGGTCTTAGTACTCCGCCGCTTAAAGTGCTCAAACCACCTCAACCCAGCTTCCCTCATCTTGTCCTGAAGAGGTGCCACTCCTACACGTCCCTGGATACCTCGTTCTAAATCCTATCCAACCTCATAAGCCAACACATCCACTGTAGCATCCCGCATCTCCAAAACATGTAGTTGACGAACATGAGTTTTCTTAACTCCCTAGCAAAGCTAGTCAGGTAACAGCTCGATAGAACTTCCCTTTCATCCACACAGAAATCTTCCTAACTGACCAACAAGCATATAGAAAAAATGGGGACTTGTGCATAACTGCATATAATCCCATTTTGCAACATCTCCTTAAACTGTCATTCGATCTCGTCCTTGAGTAACTCCAGCTGGAGGTAAACACAAATAACAATGGGATCTGGCCTCGGGGTCAGGGTCAGAGTGTAAGATGATGTGATGGTCACAAGTCCTGGGCTCCTGGCTAGCATGAAGGATGCAATTGTTGAGAAATGTCACCAAAGAGCTCAATGAGACTCTAGCACCTCCTGGTTAAATGTAGCTGAGCAGATAATGTGCATGGACGTCGGTGTAAGCCGTGTTGGGCTGCCCATGTAAGGAGTATGCCAAGGAGGGTGAATGTCATCTGTAAAGAGAAAAATATCACAAGTGATAGGACCCAAGTTACTCTACCATTTCACCACCAAGACCATTTGAAAACTTGTTATGTTATGGAGGAGTGACAAAAAAGGTGCAAAGATAGAAACTAAGAAAGTGATGACCTTAACTCCTTAAAAACACCCAATCCCTCCACAACTGATCCCTGATGTTGATGAGAACCTTAAGGTAGGTATACGGTAATTCAGAGACGAGAATGCATAATTATCAGGACTGCCCGAGTCAATGAGTGTTATACAGGCAGGTCCACTTAAACACCTGTGAACCCTCATCATGTTAGTATGGCATGAAGGTTCATTGTTGGTGTGTCGTCATTGTACTCGTCTAACGTAGGAGGAGATTCACCCTCATCCTACGTCCAAATCATGAAAAGGTAGAAGCACTTATGACCAAGGTAGTATTTGGGGAGAAGGGGATGACTATGACTCCGATGACAAGAAAACCAAGAAATGGCCTTCTCAGGGAAAATCTCTGGCAGTGATGATAGCCTTATTGAATGTCTTAGGGCAGGTTTGCTCATCATTACTCTGGAATACTTTTCATAATAGGGCAGGTTGAGCTGCAGAGTTTCAGCCCTTGCAAGACGAGTAAAGAGTTATTGTCATAATCATCAATATGCCTACCTCGTTGAAAAAATTGATTGAGTTCTCCTTAAGTGTTGGTGCTGCTTGTCTGCCGAAAACTGAGGTGGCATTCTTCCTTTAAGGCTGCCCAAAACAGCAAAAAGAGAATTGTAGCTGGCAAGTCTCCAAGTGAAAGCACAAAAAATGCATCTCAGATTCTCAGTTCCTCCATCATATGATAGGCAGTGAATTGGACTAGTTCAGAAATGGGGATATGAGCATCGCGGAAATAGCACTCAGCACAACAGAAAAACTAGAGGGTACATGTTGCCGGAAAACAAAGGAAAGTCAATAGTGGCGTTAGGAAGTGGTCAGGCTCGCTAGATGTTGGAATTCAAGAACCCTCGTTTTCTTGAATCAGTCTAAGCCTCGCCCTCCAACATGTGATTCCCTGGATTTACAGAAGTTGCTTAATCATTTGCTCTAAATTTGCCATTGTTGCTGCCTATGAGTACTGGGCAATAGTGGAAGTCAGGTTCTCTATTGTATCTGCCTGGGGTTCAAGTGTTCTGATTGACTTTCACACAGCTTCGAAGGCATGCTCGGCAGTGATATTGTTTCCCATAAAGGCGATGCAACGGAACCAAGTTGTTATGTTTGTTAGTTGCACTTTTGAGGAAAAGGAAGAACTCTTCCCTATGGTGTCGCAGAAAAAGATCAACCTGAGAGAACACATTGAAGGTAGAGCCAGGAGAGAAGAAAGAGACTTTATTTTTTATTCTAATATGTAATATCCATAAACCTAGGTTGCCGTCTTTTTATAAAGGACTACAATGAAAACAAGGATAGTTGCCTCATAATAGAAGCCCAAGTAATACCTAGTTGCTTAACTATAGTCACAATCTTTCAGAAACAGTCTCAGAGTCTCTCTACCTTTTCAAGGGGTAATGTCTGCATACGCACACCCACTGAGACCCCAGTCTTGTTACTTTAGTGGGTTTGCTGTTGGTGATGTTGTTGAATTAAAATCTGACGAGTCATGAGAAATAAATACATAAATGCCAACAAAATAAAGTAAATAAGCCCATTAAACTATTCCATCACAGATGTGAAGACTCGTAATCTGCCGGCACCAAAGGCAGTACAACTGCTTTCCAATATAGAGAGAACAAATGTAAGGGAAAAAAATTGTAGTAGGGATCTAGGAATACAATTTATGGAACCACAACAACAGATAGAACTATAGAAGCCAAGAAAGAAGAGAAAATTTCAAGCTTCTAGACATGGTTATGACTTGCCTTCTAGGAATAATATTGTTTTGACCCAATTATTGACATTTCCTTCACACTATCTAGCTTACACAAGCAATTTCATTTACCATAATTGTAGTTGCTTAGGTATGGCAAGTAAAAATTAAAATAATGTGCTAATAGAACACTATAAGCTAAATACCTCTGCGCTAGACAATGTTGCAAAGACACCTCTACCAGGCAGATTTTCAAAACTTTCAACAGAAATTGAAGGAAGATCTTTGCCTGAGCTATGGTCCAAAAAAGCTCTGCATAAACGAAGAACTAGATAGGTGACGGAAAACAAAACATATTTGAAACATCCCATTGGTGCAACTTTCTACTTCCTAAATTTTATATAGTCTACACATCATGAAATCAAAGCTTAAATTAATGCCCAGTACCCCAACTCCTCAAGCATATTCAGAAATCATAGAATGTCATATTCTCTTCATATAGTCTTTGTTCGTTTGTTTATGTGAATTTTGAATGAATAAATGACAAATAGAAAGTTCAAAAAGAATTATGAAAAGGGTTACGAATTCTGATTTTATTTCAAACATGCGAGGTTCTAAATGAAGCATCTAACAATATCAACACTAGAAATATACAAGCTCATAAAGATCATAAATTCTGAAAGAAAATTGTTAATAAAAAGTGAAAATAGATTATGATAAAGTAAAACATGATCCTAGACTAATTTAATGTAGCAACTAATGAGCTGGCTCCTACTCAAATACACATTGTTTACAAAGGTATAAGAAACTAAAGAGTTTTCCGTCCATTTTAAACAATAGTGGTATTGGTTGAGTCTCTATCATGCAATGTGTGTGTGTGAATGTTAACGAGAAGTAATTATAGCAGAAAAGGACAACATACATGAAAGCCATTTAATGAACAACCTTCCAATTGGGTGAGTAGTGCCCTTCTCCATCGCAGCTGCAACAGCAAGGGCTTCTGTTTCAGTTCACCCAAATGTCGTTCGTTTGACAAAGAGGACGGATGAGTACACTGGTACTTAACCTTCAATTGCTTTACACACAAAATCCCCAGTCGTCAAAGTGCCAGTTTTGTCAAATGCAATGCTACGACATGATGCTAGAGCATCAAGAACTTCACCGCCTTTGAGTAATATTCCCTACAAACAGAATGTGTTAACGTTCAGAAGTTTTGTTATATGCATTTCCTCTACAATACAGCATTTGCAGGCTTAGGCAGAGAGCTCAAGAAACAAAGTCATAACTGTCATCATCAAGCTTCAATTTATAAAAGAAAACTAAAAGACTGATCTAATCTGTCTCAAAAAAAGATTTTCCTAACTGAAAATCCAATATGGGTCGCTACGCTTTAGCTTTTCCTTATGGTGTGTTAAAAATGTTTAAATGAATTTTTTATCTACGCAGCTTTGTTTCTTGAATTGTTGCCGTCAAATGAGAGTGCTTCAGTGGGTAGCTTTTCATGACAATTTTCCACCAGAGTTCAAGAGAGGAGTAGTTTATTTTTTGTTATCTGATTGATTTTTTTATATTTCAACCCAGCATATTCTTTATTATACTCCCTCCGTCCCAAAAAAACCTCTTCACTTTCTCTTTTCAACCGTCCCAAAAAAATATATTTCGACTTTCAATTAAAATCTCTCTTTTACCCCTACTAATTATTAACCTACCTATCACATCATATCTATTCACTATTAATCTACCTATCACATCATATCCTACCCTACAATAAAGTAAGGGTAAAATTGGAAAGTAACACCAAAATAACACATTCAATAAATCCTACCTTTTTCCAAAGTAGAAAAGTTTTATGGGACGGAAGGAGTATTTCTTAATATTTGAATATATAAAACAAATACCTTCTAAAATATGTCTAAACTTGGGTAAATTTCAAAAATGGTACCTTAATTTTCACGAAAATTTCGATTTGGTACCTAAACTTCAAAACCTTTCAAAAAAATCCCTGAACTTTGAAAACCTTTCACGAATGGTACCTGAAGCCGGTTTCAGGTAACCAGCAGCTCATTTGGGCCAAATTTTAATTTTTTGTATTTTATAATTTTTAAATTGGCCCCGTTTCTTTTTCTTCTTTTCCCTCCCCCACCCCTTCTTCTTTGTCTTCTTCTTCTTTCACCCCTTTTCTTCTTCTTCTTTTTCACCCCCTTTTATTCTTCTTCTTCAAAGCTCCCCTCACCCAACCCCTATCCCCTCCCAGCCCCCCATTCTGCCCCCCTTCTTTTCCTCTTTTTTCCCAGCATCCCCCCTCACTCTCTTCTTGAGCTCCCTCTTTTTGTCTTTCCTTTTTCACATTTTTTTGTTTTTTTGTTTTTTGTTTTTAATCTTATTTGTTTGTTTTTTGTTAAAATTTTTGTTTTTTATCTTTTTTTCTTGATACTTTTATATTATTTGTTTGTTTGTTTACGAGTTTTTTGGGAATTTTTTTTGTAAGTTTTTTTAATCTATTCTCTTAAGAAGTGATTTATTTTATTGTTTGTTTTACTTGTTTATTTTTTTGATATTGTTTTGTCTTATTTTTTTGTTTCTTTATTATTTTTTGTTTGTTATTTTTTTGTATTTTATTTTTTCATAAAAATGAAGAAAAAAATTAATTAGCATTTGGAATCGTTCTTTTTTGTGGGTTGTTCTCTTTTTATGTTTCGCTTATTCTTAGTTTGTCTAATTTTTTGTTTGTTTTTTGTTTGTTTTATTTGAAAACAGACAAAAAAAGTTAACAAACAAAAAATATCAAATAAAACAAACAAAAAAGAAGACGTATGGTACGCTTTTTTGATTAATTAAAATGATCAATAAAATAAAAACAAATTAATTAATAAAATAAAATAAGTCAAACTAAGAGTAAGTGCAACATAAAAAGAGAACAACCCACAAAAAAACGAATCCAAACATCAATTAGTCTTTTTACTTCATTTGATGAAAAAATAAAATATAGCATAGAAATAAAAAACAAAAAATGATCAAAAACAAATAAAAATAAGATAAAACAACATCAAAAAAAATAAAAAGGTAAAACAAACAAAAGAAATAAGACAATTCTTAAAAGAATAGATTTAAAAAACTTACAAAAAAAAGTTCACAAAAAAATTCTAAACAAACAAACAATTTAAAAATATCAAGAAAAAAGATAAAAAAAAGTTGTTTCTTGAAATCTTTATTTATTGTTTATTCCTTTTTCCTTTTCTCATTTCTTACTTTTTTTGTTTTCTATTTTGTTTTTCTTTCTTTCTTCCTTTATTTATCTGTTTCGTTATTTTCTCCTTTATCTTTTATCTTTTTAGTTAATAACTTTGTTATTTTATATTTAATAAATTTATGTAAACAAAAAGATCAAACTATACATCTTAATTAAACAAAAAGATCAAACTAAATAAGACATATAGTGCCATTTTTTCATTTTTTTTTGATCTTATTTGTTTGTTTTTGAAGAAATATGAAACAAAAAATGGTACTATATGTCTTATTTTTTGTTTGTTTTTTTAGAATTTTCCGTTGTCTTATTTTTTTCATTTTTTAGTTATTTATGTAGGGTTTATTTTATTCACTTGTTTTGTTTAATTGTTTACAAAAAAGATTTATAAACAGACAAAAAAATAAGATGTGTGCTTTGATTTTTTGTTTAACTAAAATGATTAAACACAATTGATTAAGTCAAACAAAAAAATCAGAAAATAAAACAAAAACAAACAAACAAAAAATTAGACATTTGTTAGCAACAAAAAAGTTTGTACAAAAATCGTAAACAAACAAACAAACAATATTAAAACATCAAGAAGAAAATAGAAACAAACAAAAAAAAAATATACAAATAAAATAGACCGAAAAAAAAAAAAAGAAATATATCAAAAAAAATTGAAAAAAAATTAAAAAAAAATTATTCAACAAAAAATTCGAAAACAAAAAAACACTTAAAAAGGAAGTTAAAATTAAACAAAAAAAGAGGGGACTCAAGAAGGGGGGTGGTGTTAAACAAGTAGGGAGGGGTGGGTTGTTGTGAGTGGAGGGTTTAATGAAGAAGAAGAAAATGGGTGAAAGAAGGAAGAAAAAGAAAAGAAGGGGTGAAAGAAGGAAGAAGAAGAAAAACAAGGGGGGAAAGAAGAAGAAAAAGAAGGGAGTGGGAGGGGGGAGAAGAAGAAAAAAGAAATGAGGTCAAATTAAAGATTTTAAAATATATAAAATTGTAATTTGACCCAAATGACCTAATGATTACCTGAAAACCGGCTCCAGGTACCATTTGTGAAAGATTTTCAAAGTTCAGGTATTTTTGTGAAAGAAAAAAAGTCTAGGTACCAAAACGAAAAACAGCTAAAAATTCAGGTACCATACATGAAATTTACCCGCCTAAACTTCCTCTATCCCAAAATAAACTATGGAGTACATGCATTGACTGTGTTGAAAATTAAAAAGTGAATGGTTGGAATTTGTAAAAAGGTGAGAGAAAGATTGTGAGTCACCTATTACATTCTTTAATAGGAAAAATGGAAAATGTGAAGTTTACTTTGGAATGGATGGAAAGTTTGAATTTTATTTGATACAGTCTAACAACACCACCACAGTTAGATAATCAAACAAATACTCCCTCCATCCTAAAACGATTTACCTCTCTAATATTACGACATCTCGATAACTTTTGTTTGTTTGCATGTTTTCATATACCATTTGACATAATAAATTATTTTTGTCACCTTTGTTTTGTAGAATCTTTGATGTAGTTTTTAAACATATAATTTTTATTTTTTATTCTTATACCAATTTGTAAATAAAATCATTTTATAAGTCACAACATTTTACACGTTAAATAGAGAGAGTAATTCATTAGGGACGGAGGGAGTATGAAATGTAAAGCTGCATTTCATCTTACAAAACTCATAGCCATAGGCCATAGCTAATATCTTACAGCACCACGGTCAAACCATAGCCATGACAAATAGACCCTTTAAATTCAAATTCGCATTCTAATTAATAGCCCTTAGATAAGTCTCACAAAATGGCAAGATGAGGTGATCCTTCAACAATATTACCAGGTTCACCACTAGGGCCATAGCCCATGCCTCATTTGAAGGCAATAAGGCATAGTAGGAATGTAAGACCTAAACTAGATGAGATAACATACAATGAATCAAATGCAAAATACAGATACTATAAAGCATTACGAAAACAGTCAGTAAAAATATAAGCTAAACACATACTCAATAATAGACTAAAAGAGATACCTTTCTAGCACAAGCGCTGATAGCTGTCACATACGCCAAAGGAGCTACAGCTAAAGCACATGGTGATGCGGCTACCATTAACCCAAGTGCTCTATAAATTGATCCTCTGCTAGCTTCATAAATTAAACAGGTTACAAAGTATAATAAGGGCAAAATAGAAGAATATGTGCATAAGAGTTGCAATATCTACTAATTTTCTGCTATACTAGGGTACACGATATTATGTTCCCCTGCGTAACTACGAGTTACAGGGCGTTTTGTTTGGGGTTAAGGCTTCTCCAAGGAAGAGAGCTAACTATGATTGTTGATGCCTCTTTTGTACTGGTGTTGCCTCCCTTCGACGGAGCAGAGATAGAAATAGAGATAGAGAGAGAGAGAGAGAGTCTTGGAAGAGTTTTTTATTTGAACTGCAAAATCACTTGGACCATTCATCCAAAACTCCTTTAATAATTCCAAAATACAAGAGCTTAAAAAGAGTCTATTATAATAGGAAACCTATTAGGATACAATGACATAACTCCAAAGAAAATCAATTCAAGGAAACTAAATGCATTTTGCCCGAATCCTGGACTATTTTTCCTTTGGTTATTTTCTTTCTTCCGCCTGGCCTTCCCTTTCACCCATGCTACCCCTTCACTGGTACGTATCATGCTGGGTAAGCAATGAAGTACTTGACAACACACTTACGCCAACCACAATACAATCAACAGGTGAGGAGAGATTTCCAGCAATGAAATGCCATGTACAAAGTTCAAACACACACCAAGTAAGCATATTATAATTTCCTTCTCCTTTCAAAAATATGGGTCGCATTTCTCCACAAGACATTAAGCAAACCAGTGCAACAGAGAGAGATAGCAGACTGAACTATAAAAGTCAGAAAATTTATTTCCCTAACAAGTCATATGAATTACCTGAGGAACTAATGAGTGGCCACCTGAAAAGAAAAGGTCCCATAACAGCAACAGATATGGACAGGAGTACCACAACCTTGCTATACTGCTCTCCAAAGTTATCCAACCACCTCTGAAGCTTTGGTTTACTTAACTGAGCTTCCTCGGTCAACTGCACAATCCTGTTTAGTGTCGACTCTTTCCATGTTTTCTTCGCCTAGATTTCAATTAAATAAGAGAATATCAATGTATAGATATAAAAACAAAGTATACACTCTATTTTCTCTCCCAAAGTATAGACTTAAAATGACATTAATTTCTTTACAAGATTTGATGAAAAATAATTCTTGATATGAAGCATTCAACTAATTAGGTGCAACGGCAATGAAACAATAGTTGAAATACAAAATAGATCAATTTCTTGATAACCAATACTCCCTAAGACCTAAATGAACTTCACCATTACTATTTACTTGTGAGACTAAATCAATTGTTACAATAAAATATCCATGTCACAACTTGTTCTATAGAAGTTTTGATCTAGTTGTGTGTGTGTGTGTGTATACCAATATGCAAATAACTTTAATCAAAAGTGACTTCAATCAAGCATCGTAAACCAAAATGTTTTATTTAGGGACGGAGGGAGTAAAAAATTCTGCATCAGCTCTCTTTTAGTTGTTTCAAAGAATTTTTGTTTACTAATAACTGCCACTTTAGAACTCCAAAAGAGTGGCAATAATGGATCATTTTCCATCATTACCCCATTTACGTCCTACATACTTTTAAAAATATTAATAGTTATTCTGGTCTTATTATTCTTGAAAAAATCTCTTAGGCATTCTATAATTAATTATTCTTGTAACTAGCTTGGGGCATATAATTTGTACGCTTTGCTTGAGGGAGAATGTGAGAATCACTTTTGTTTTTTTAGCCTGACATAGTGACATGAATAAGTATAGGGCTTTGTACAAACTAATTCATAGCAAAAATCATTCCTCTCTTAATTGTTTCACACAACTCACATGGAACATTAAATCATTTGGTCTTACACTTATAACAGAAAAATCACAAATCTCATGGAATTTTATATATGAGAAAAGGTAGAGGAGCATACCCTAACTATCAACATACCATCCACGTTCCTCGCTCCCCCCGGAATGCTATCCCCAACGCTTTTTTCTAAAGGTTTGACCTCACCAGTCAAGTGCTCAACTGTGATTGTTGAGCTACCTTTTAAAACTTCACAATCCACAGGGACAGACTGATTAAAGAAATAGTAAAACCTAGTATTATAATAAATTTAAATTCAATGAACAACACATAACAACGATCATTAATGAAATAAGCTAGTAAGTAGAGAAACCATTAACATACAGCAGCACACACAATAACACAATTTAATTTGATGTAATAGCTATGGAGGTGCAATGTACATACCTCGCCCGCTTTGACAAATATTAATGAGCCAACTTTCAAGTAGCTAACAGGAACTTCAGAATATGTCAAGTGTGAGAAACTCGGTAAGCTTCCACTATTTGTATCAAGCAAAAGAGCAAACTCTGGATGATTTTCTCTCAATTCCTTTACGTCAATCTTGGAGCGACGAGTGAAGGCCTCCTCAGCTATGTGGTTAAATGGTTATTTGGTAAAGAATTCAAATCTCTTGGCAGAGATCAACAGCCAAGTAAGCACATAATAATGCACATACCTATATGCGACAAATTAAACATCGCTAAAAGCAAGCCACCTTCCAATGGGTTTCCCATGAAAACTGAAGCAAAGGCTGCAAGAGCCATCAGCACATGGATATTAATTTTTCCACCACTAATGTCCATTAGGGCATCAAGTGAAGCTGAAATCTGACATGAATTATGACATACAAATTCAGAACATAACCAAATATACAAAATATTGAATAATACACAAACAACACAAGATACCCCTATAAGGAGTTCCGAGGAACACATAGCATTGTTCTTGGGACACTGGTCATATATCACTTACTAAACATCCACAATATCTTTATATGTTAGCTCCACCCACTGGGTTTAGCAGAACATTAACATCCTCAATAATGATATGATGGGAATCTATTGCAACCTAGTCTATGCATTGGAGACTACTTATGAAAAGCATAATAATCACTCTATTTAGGATCGCATGATCATACAAACTAATGCACCCAATTAGCTGTTCTTAAACGGAAATTTGATTAGAAACAATTGTGTAAGCTAGGTGAATGGACATTTGAAATACCCCGACAAGAGGAAAGGCAATGGCAGCTAAAGCATGTTGGAAAGGCTTTGCGGCCGGTTTAGGAAGCACATAGGGGCAAGCGGATGCAGCAATAAACAAAGCGGCTGAGAAACAACAGAGTTCCAAATTTTCCCGCAGGAAATTGGACAAGTTGGTCCACCTAGTCATCTCCGCAAACTTGAGAAGAACCTCCTGGGGTTTAGTTAGTTGCAGATTACATTCATTGGGACCATGGTGGTGGTGGTGGTGGTTGTCATGATGATCACGATGGCCATTCTGCTGCGACTGACCGTGGCCGTGGTCTTGATGGTGGTGGCTGTGGGCCGAGCAGGAGGTGGGGTAGCGGCGGAGATGGGCTGGTAGAGAGTATGTAATACTAAAGTTGCGACGGTGCACGGAAGGGAGCGGAAGAATCGGGTTTACTCTGGACCGAATCGGGTATGGGGCTCGGGTTCTGTGAGGGGATAATTTAATCCCGGATAAGAGAACTTGAGCCTCCATTGGAGACGCAGTTCAGCGAACAAGGGAAGATTTGATTTAAGGAAGATGATGCTGGTGGGTTGGGGTCATAGTTGCATCATCATGTCCACACTCAGGGGTGTTTATTTTTCTGCCAGAAGATCTTCTCGCGTCTTTTGTCTGCCGCGCAGATGATGGGCTCTGCAGATCTTCTAACATCTTCTCCTTTTTTTTCTACTTCTCTTCACCACCACAACCGTCCACCGCCACCGTCCACCACTACCACCGTCCACCATCACCGTCACCGTCCATCACCATCATCGTCCACCACCACCGCCACCATCCACTGCCACCACCACCACCGTCCACCACCNCCACCACCCTCCACCACCACCACAATCGTCCATACACCACCACCGTACACTACTACCATTAATTTATATAGCAATCTACAGACATTAAAAAACAAACAGTCTTCTTCTTGCAGACCGCAGACCTTCGGTCCACCACTTCTCCTGCAGATGTCTACAGTAGTGGTCCGCAGATTGCAGACATTTTCCTGCAGAAAAAACAAACACCCCCTCAGCTCCTCTTTGCTCTTTTTACCGTTTGCCCGATGGAACTCCACTCCCACGAACTAGCGGATGATGCAAAAATTTAGCTATTCCTAAATTTTTAAATGGTACATCCAGCTGTACTTCCTTTAGGTATAGCCTGGTATTTTTGTAAATTTTGTAAACTTTTTATCCAATGTCCAGAGCATAAATAGATATATTTTAGAGTTCTTCTAATACAACCTTGATATTCCAAACCAAACAATCCCCACATTTATCTGAACACTAGTGGTCGTAGCACCATATTGACCTTTAAACTACTTTAGTATGTTAGTATCGGCTCTGATTCCATCAGTGTGCATGATCGGTGGGTTACTCCATGCTTGCTCGGATCGCATATAATTGGTACCAATGGTGATGGCAACATGTGGTACTAATTTCGTAGTTATTCCATAGTGAAGCATTTTTTTCATGTGTGGACAAGAATTAGACATCTCACGATTATCAATTGTTGTAGCGGGTCTTTCCTACTACTTTGCCACCCCACATCTCCGGTAGCTATAAACGAACAACATCATCTACATATTCCTGACCATATTTCCAGTCTTACATGGCAATACTTGTTGATAAGAAACAAAAGAGAACAAAAGCTATGCAAACATAGAAGGAATGAAAAAGAGTGAGGATACTAGGGTATGTCTTCTGTGTGAGTGCAAGGTTCTTGGTAGCTAGAAACTCGAGCAGGTGTTAGCCATATGTGCATCGATTGTCCCGTGGCGGAGGCTATATGGGTCAAGTCACGATCGAATATCGTGGGAGCTTGTGTGTTGAATGCACTATAAGTCTAGGGTGTGTGTCTCTTCTAAAACTAGTTGGTTTTATAAGAGTTGGTAGCACCTGAGATCCTACAAGTGGTATCAATCGATTCCCAGTGGTATAAATTGCTGAGGGGGAGATTGTTGGCCATTTGTGCATCAATTATTCCGCGGTGGAGGCTATGTGGGCCATGTCACAATAGAATATCGTGGTCACTTATGTTTTGAATGTACTATAATGCTAGGGTTTGCGCCTCTTCAAACACCAATTGGTTTTAGAAGAGTTGATAGCATTTAAGGTCCTACAATAGGTTCTATATTGTTTTGGTTGTAGGACTCCCTATAGTTTTCTAGTCTTTCAAATTAGATTTTTTCTTAAGAGGGGTTGTAGTGTAATTGGAATGCAAGACTAAAGACGTAGGAAGAGATACATGTTTCTTCTCTATAAGAGCCACATGCCTATCTTTAGCATTGTTTTCGTCCGCGTGAGCAAACTTTTTCTAGAATTGATAAACACTAAAATAATGACACAGGTTAGCATCAGTGACATAAATTAACAATCATTTGAAATATGAAAATAAAAAAACTCAAGGAAAAGATAGATAAACCATACATACCTTAGATATGGAAAGTTGGCTCTTTTTCCATTTGAGGGATCTTTTCTAAGTTGAGGGTGATATTTTCTAGGAGAATTTACATAAATAGTACTAAAACATATTGACTCTCCCAATGTAGTACCATATATTTTTCTCTCTCAATGTAGTACCACTGGTCATTGTCCACTCGTCATTGTTCAAGTAAATGTCTATTGACACTAAGCATTGTTCAAACTAAATGTCTAGCATCACTGGATATTATTCCCGCTACTAGACATTATCCAAGTACTATTTAGAGAATAAAAAGTGTAAGTAATACATTGGAAAATGACATATATTTTAGTACTATTTAGTGTAAATTTCACTATTTTCTAATCTCTCAAACTGTCAACTCCCTTACATCCTCCTTGGTGACCTTTTGCCTCTAGAACTAAAACTGTAGTTTAGTAATCGGCTGGCAAGATGGTCCCCTCTCAGCTTTGGCAAGTCCCTTCAGCAAGTGTCTGATAACAACTCAAAAATCAAGGTCTAGTATTTAGATTTTCAAGGCACGATTATTTGTGCATGCAATGCCATAATGCAAGAAATATAAAGGGTTTCCTATAAGTGTTAGACTGTGAGAAAAAATACACATAGCGCAAAATAAATTTAAGATCATAACAAACCTTATTCAATAGTGGGTCTATGCTTTGGATCAAAAGCCAGAAGCCATCCCACATATTTAGTAGCCATAAACTGACTTATAGCAATCAACCCCTCGCAGTTGAGACTTATCATGGTTTGATTGGTTGATATGACATCCATGAAGCTCAACTAAATTAAAAACAAAGATAGATGAGAATACATACGAAGTATGAAGATTAATGTCACAGAACTACAACACAAAAAGAAGCTGTATACCAAAATACATAAATATCATGAAGTAAAAAGTAACAGTTTGTTTTTAGGAAAGATCAATTTGTAGCAATACTACAATTATGGAAGTTTATACCATTAGAAAGATCCTTCACATTGAGCGGGCAGCTGCTTAATCTTTCACCCCTTAGTGACTTTTCTATATATTCCACACTAATGAGTACCAAAAAGTAACTATTATTTGCTATTTGAATATTCAAAGTACATAGAAGTTATCATCATGATTTGTTTAGCCATCTTAGCTGGACATAAAGGTGTTGTGCATCTCCAAGAAGTATAGAGAATGAAGAAGATGCACTATCACGATTAGAATATTAAACCAAACGTAAGCAGTTACGTATTTAATGCAAGAAGGTTATTAATTGAGTTTGTAGATCATCATAACTCAGATGCAAAGCGTAATTAATTAATAATTAAAATTAACTAATTTTCTAGAGACCGTCCTTATTTTAATTTCAAAGTCATCAATTGGAGAATCTAATTTCATCAAATTCAATTTTAAAGAATTCCAATTTCACATCAATTCCAGTTCTGCCAGTTCCGTATACAAAACGAACCTTTATAGTTATTAAATTTGAGAAAAGTGCACCGTTTACCCCCAAATTCTTTGAAAATTGCATGTTTTACCCCCGAACATTAAAAAGTGCACCAAATACCCCTGAATTCTTTACTAATTGCACGCTTTACCCCTGAACAATAAAAATTGCACCAAATATCCCTAAATTCTACGAAAATTGTATTGTTTACTCCTGAAAATTTAAATAAAGACGATAATTTTGGAGAAAGGTACTTTGGAAAAATCGCAAGGGGCAGATGAATCATATTCGCAATTGTTGTGCGTGGAAGCAACGCACTCCCTATCTAATAGTTTAGGACCAACGATGCAACGATTTAATTTGTTCAAGGGTATTTGGTGCATTTTTTAGTATGCAGGGGTAAATCATGCAATTTTCAAGGAGTTCGAGGGTAAACGGTGCAATTTTTATAGTTCAGGGGTATAACATGCAATTTCTAAAGAGTATGGAGGTAAACAATGCACTTTACTCTATTAAATTTAAACATAACCTTAAATTCAAAAAAAAAATCACAAAAATCAATAAGGCCGGGAATTAGCTAGGGAGGGAGGACTAATTAAGAAAATTCACGGGTACCGTACCAAACCAAACAACCTTCAAAGTCTAAGCTCGCCGCCGGCCCGGAACAACCTTTAAAAAAAAAAAAAGAATTCTAAGCACTTATCTAATACTAGTATGTAAGTAGCCTTTGAATCCTTTGATCAAGAAACTCCCCGGTTGTTTCTTCTTCATCTCCCACGTTTGGTTTGAACTTTAAAAGCCAACAGACAAAGCTTGGGAGGGACATCATCTGCAATAACACTATAAATTGATCACCTTCCTACCATACATTCTATGCACCCAACTTCCAAACATTAATATTCTTTGATAGTTCAATTCCCACACACCAAAAAAAACATAGATATAACCAATTATATACTTCTTTCATTTCGAGATGAAATCGTCCGGCATCACGGTTTCGCTAATGGCTCTGCTTAGCTTCGCGCTTCTACTGGGCCCCACGGGAGGCCGTCCCCTTCATATTGTTGAGGACCACGACTCCGGTAGCGGGGGAAATGTTGCATGGGGTTTGGACCAGTGGTTAACTCTGGGTGCCGTTAAGGGTGGCGGGCCCAGTCCCGGGGCCGGCCATCGGTTTATAACGGATGGAGGAATCAAGAACTCTGGTCCAAGCCCTGGTGATGGACACCGCTATGTCACCAGTAACCACCACTGAATTAACCAGTTGGACGTTACAATTATTTCAAATTCTTTCATTAATATTTTTATCATTGGTTTATTGATTATTTATGTGGAGTATATGTCACAATGTGGGATTAGCAATATGTTTGTTGTTTGAATTAGTTTGTTGTTTCTTTGTGCTAAAAAAAGTAAATTAATTTGTTGTTTTGTCTTTGGGTCAAAGAGAGACCCTTTTATTGTAATGTAATAGTTGTAGTGCTCGACACAATAAGTTAAAAAAATAAATTTGTACTCGGTAACGGTAGCTTTATACTCCGTATAATCTTTAAAATTTTGAGGGAAAATTCACCTTTATGCGTTCTTCCAAAAACAATCTCAGATTTCAATATTATGTGTAATGATCTCAAACATAATTTTGCATCACAATAGTAATAACTTAAACAAATACCAAAAATTTCTTTAACTATACTAACATTAACAAAAGCTCGAACAACCCGCCGTGTAGAGGGAACTGAATTCAATGATTATAATGGGTTTATGAGAGCTTAAAAACATTTACAAACTAATTTGACATTAACCAATTTCATTTTAAACAATAACAGACTAATAAGAACACAATTTTACCTGGTTTACACCCAACAACCCACAAGAATGACACAATCAACCAAACAATGCACATATATTTCACAAAAAGACCTTATTATCCACATATATTCACCTTCTGGTGCCTGGGACATTCACATCCTAAATAACCATTGGAACATCCTCAAAAACACGGACTTCCTCCTCTTCCAGAACCAGATCGCGGCGCTGTACTGTTCGTTGCGGATGTTTCTGGTCGCTTCCCTCCAGTCGTACTTCTCCATTTCCTGCCTCGCGGCCTTGCCCATGGCCCCTCTCAGTTCCCTGTCAAACAAGAGAGGCTCCAGTTTACCCAAACAGTCCTCGAGGTCGCCCGGGGTGAACAGATACCCTGTCTTGCCCTGCTGATCATCAGGGACGATATCGGGAATTCCTCCCGCGCGGGCAGCCACTACGGGCAACCCAGATGACATGGCCTCTAGGACCACGAGGCCGAGCGTCTCGGACTCGGAGGGCATTATGAACACATCCCCACTGGCATATGCTTGAGAGAGTTCTTCGCCGTGCAGCATACCCGTGAACACGGCCGGCATGCCCATGAACATTTCCTCTAGTTCCCCTCTACAACAACCAAACACCAAACTATAGTGTGTTATGTGTATGTTTGGATTTATATATACATATATTCCCTCCGTTCAAAAACTAGAGTCCCAGTTTGTCTATACACGGATTGAGGCAAATCTTAGACTGGTGTTGACTTTCCAACTTTGCTCCTGATATGGTTTTGATGTGATGTGGATGGACTAAGAGTGTGAAATAAATGAGGGTGGGTATAAAAAGTGATTGAAAATAGGTAGGGGTGGGTGGGTTGAAATAAGAGGGACAATATAAAAGTGATTGCAAAATGTAGGGGTGGGTGACCTAAAAATGGTAGGGGTGGGTGGGTCATCAATGTTCCAATACCATGTTAAGGAACTAACTTCAACCAAAAGCTCAGGTTTGTGGTTGTAGGCCCAAAAAAGATTTTATACCCTAACAATAATAATAGCAAGCCAAGGATGCCATTGCTCCTCACCTGTATGGTCCGTCGCCTATAAAAGCTATCCGAACGTCAGGAAGTCTATCCATCACCCTGTTCCAAACAAGAACGTCGCTTGTCAAAACTCCAGATACCGAAGTGATGTCTTAAAGATTAAATGGAATGCTAATACAAATAAGAGATTATTACTAGTACTAATAAGAATATAGTAAAGAAACTAATACTAACAAAACAATTACAGATTACATAGTACTCCCTCCATTTATCAAAACGGTTCCAATTTTCACTAATGGGAGAAATGAGTGTATATTTGTAGTTGACTTTCCAATTTTGTCCTTGATGTAAATCATGTGATGGGTAAAAGTAAGAGATGTTATGAGTAGATCATTAGTAAAAAAGTATCATGTGATAGGTAGGGTAAGAGAGGCTCCGTGATAGCAAGTAGTTTTTTAATAGAAAGTGGAAGTGTTTTGGTGAAAGAGAAAAAAATGAAAGCGGAACTGTTTTCAAAAAACAGAGGGAGTAGTAATTTTTTTCTCCGTGATAACATACAAAATGCATTACCTTTTAAGGAAATCCAAGCTCTTCTCAACCCCAAGTCGCCCAACATGAACTATCAACGGCTTGTCGGGTTCATTATTGCTAACGATTATTGGAACAAAAAATAGAAACTTGTTTAGCCCGTCATTAGACTAAACAGTAAACAGTACTAGTGTTTAAATTAACATCACTTTACAAATGCATGCCCAACCTTAGTCTTGATCGCATTTCCTTTGAGAAGAATCGAGGGTGAAAGCTTTCGGAATCCACACCCTTATTCCACAGACGAATTCTGTTAGCTGAAAAGAAGCAGATACATTTGTACTTGGCCACACACGAAGATCATGATAAGTAACCAACTCCAGATCACATATAAGTCTCACCTGCAGTTATCCTATAAGCTCGCAGGTCTTTTGCAATGGCAGCTGAGGGAACGAGTGTAAGATCAGCGGCTCTATGGAGAAACTCTGTAGGGCAATAAATATTTAATTATTAATGTAGAATTCTGAGATTTTGACCTGAAACCAATTGGCAATGGGATGCGTAACGCGTATTCTTATATATTAGAATATTGGCCTTTTTTTAGACTGGGTGTTCAATGCGGGACTTTTATATTCAACAATTAACAACAAAACAAGATATGTAATGGTTAATTGAATATCAAGACAACAAAAAAGGCCACTTACTTATAACTAACCACATAGGTTGGACTAGCCAACTAAAAGTGTATCTTGGAATGTATCTGCAGAAGAAATGAATGAGCTTAGACTTGACAATTTAAAACAATTACTCCCTTCGTCTCAAAAAGAAAACATATATCAGCCCAAAACAATCTCATCTGAACAAAAAGAGCCAATTTTCATCATGAGTAAATTCCATAAATGGTCTCTTATAACAGGTGATTTTCCATATTTAGTCCCCAATTCTATGATATTACATTTGTGGTCCTCAATTTTTGAAAACTATTCCACAACTAGTCCTTTAGGCCAAGTATGCCCAAATACGTCTTCCCACATATAGTTCCCAAGAGATGGAATAGTTTTGAAAATATGAGGATCATGAATGTAATATCTTAGAATTGAGGGGGAGTAAAGATGGAAAACCACCCATTATAAGGGACCATTTATGAAATTTACTCTTTCATCATATTTAGTATTTTTTATAATAAAAAAAAGTGTCCCGAACAAGTTGTGATTTAAATCTAGTAAAAATAACAAATAAATTTAAAAATATAGATATGATTGTACATTTAAGGGATAGAGGAAGTATTGCTTATTAAGGCAATGTATGGAAGTTATGGAAGCGTACACAGGAACATGGGTGTGATAAGACATCACCAGAGGAACACGCAACAATTTTGCTATAATAAGAGCTCCAAATACCTACAAAATGATATCAAGAAAACATAGCCACAAATATGAAACCTTATAGTTTGTGTTAACCAATAGAGAAGAAAGTGTCTGAACAACATACAAGCAAAAGGGGTTTTATAAAAAAACTTAAAAAAAATGCATGCACAAGGAGCATATGAAAGCTCACCATTATGCCAGGAGATGATGCATGTATTATCTCAGGCTTAAACTGGGCAACTTCTGAGATGATTCTTGGACTGAGAGCCAAAGACAGCGGAACTTTGCGGTACCAGGGACAGGGAAAGCTGTAAAAGGAAATTTGCAAAATGAGAAACACTTGAAAGAGGGAAATCATTTGAAAGCCCATTAGAATAGGGAAGACAAAATGTAATACATCCTCCGTCCCGCAAAATATTTCCTATTTTGACTTTTGGGAGGGGAAGCTGTAGAAGTTTGACCAAGGTGAAACGACGACAATTGAAACGAGTAGGGCTTGGGAAATGTCAAAATGGAGACGGCGTAGAAGGTAGTTAGGGTAGGTTTGGTTAGATTTAAGAAAAGTAAAGGCAATTGTGTCCATTTAGGCCAAATTAAAATGTTTTATTGGACATGTAAGATGGGAAAGTTGAAAAGTTATACAGGACGGAAGAAGTATGACATATCAACACATTAGCCACACACAAAAGTTTGAGAAAACAATAAGAGTTAAAATGCACAAGTACTCCTTGTGGTCTTTCATAAGTAGGTAAATAGTCCTTGTACTTTTAAAAGTTGCAAAGTAGTCCTTGTGGTCAAAGAACTGATGCATAATCAATCCCTTCTTTAAGGAAAACGTAAAGCACACAGAACATAAGCGTACTGTGTGAAAATGTGAAGCATGTAACAAAAAAAAGTTTATCTCATGAAATTGCCCTCGTCTTCGTGGTTATAGGCAATGAATGGTCTTCTTCTAGCTCTTTTCTCACACGGTTTTACCTTAGAATAAAGCTACTTGAAAATAGAATAATGTCGAGCTCACATAGGACATTGTACTATGATTCAAGAATATCACTATAGAAGAGACGGAGAATTCTTTGTAAGAGTTAAACTAAAAGATGGAAGAGATTGTACTATGGTTCAAAGTTACACATCACAATTGAAATTTCAGATTAGCTTCTTTTACTGTTACATGATTGACGTCTTTGCATCATACGCGCGTGTTGTGTACATTTTACGAATTTTCTAATATAGGGACTAATTATGTTGTGGTTGTTTGACCACAAGAGCTATTTGAAAACTTTTAAAAGTTCGAGGATTATTTACCCACTTATGAATTACCACAGGGACTATATCCATATAACTCAAACAATAATGAAGACATGAAACAAGCAATCACTACCTACGCGATCCTATCAACTTTGCTCCGTAAAATTCTTGGGGCACCCCTTCATGTGTTGTGACAACCATTACCTGCATGACATTCACAAATCCAACCCAGCATTTAGTTCATAATTCATCAGAGTTTCCAATAATGCGTTTCTGTTTGCAAAGAAAATTCAGAAACTATGAAGAGATATGGAAAAATTTAGAATACTTTTAAGAATTGCCAATAAGAAATGGAAATATCTTTGGAATATCAGTAATCTCAATATTGTTCATGAAAAAACTTGATAAAGGTTGTTCTTTAAAAAAATCCAATATCTATATATCAAAATGTCCTGCTGATTTTTCCACCATAATTACAAAGTAATGGTATCTCCATGACTACCAGTATTTTAAACCTTCCTACTTACTATAGCTGACGAATACGAATAATTGAATCAAGAATAAAAATATACCTCATCCCCCATCTCACGCAGATACTTGATGAAATTCTGAAACCGATTCTTATATCCAGACACGTAACTGCATGTTTATCAAAAACAATTAGTGGCTAAGTGGTCAATACATGAACCAAATTTTGTTTAGAAATATCACTAGAAGCGCCAATATCATAGAATGCTTCTTATTTTTATTCATCATAAAAGAGCATTTTTGGTTTTTAATCAACACAGAGAAAGATACTGTCCAGATGGACTGTGAAGATGAACAAATCAATTCTTTTCAATAGATGGTTACATACAACAACATACTTGCGCAGTTTGTTGAGAAAATAACAACAAAAAAAAGTAAATTCCCCAAAGTGGAGTTTGGTGAGGGTAGAACTTAGAAGTATGCAGACCTTACCCTTACCTACAGCCACACAGAGGCTATTTCAAAAAGACCTTCCGCTCGGGTTAGAAAAAAATTGTCAAAAGAAGAACAAAGGGGGAAAACAACAACATAAAAGAGAAAAGGTGAGAGGATAGCAACACATAAAAATACAAAAATCTTACAAAGACACACCTAAATCTCTCCTATAACGTGGCTCGAAGCTAAATTGCCCTTCAAATAGTGAAACCTTAGTTGTTTGTTGAGAATGATAAATCAAAATCCATGGGTTTGTTTGAATTGAAGAGAACACCCATCTTCACTTTCGTCTGGTTAGGATGTAAAGTGAAGGAGAGATTAATGGATGGATGCCCTGCATCCTTCCATTTCATTCGATCCCTCCAAATCAAAGTCAAATACGAGGTGAGATGACACTCCCCTCAAAACTCATTATCCTATATACCTAAAATTTAATGATCTCCAAGCAATCCAAACAAGAAAAATTGTAATTATTTATAATTTCTTCCCTTCCATTACTAAGTGGATCCCATGTGAGCATGGTTTGATCATTTTCCCGCCAACCACAACAACTACTACCTACTAAATGAAGTTCTATATGGGTGGAAGTATGCATACCTTAAGTCTACCTATCGAGTAAAGGAAAACAGACATACCAAAAGCTTCAAAACCAAATCACATTTTAGGACATGAACATATTCAGATCATCATCATCAAAGTCAACTCATGAAACTAATTTTCATACCCAAAAGAAACCAGCATTGCATAGAATCAAATGGGAGTTCATCACTTACGCAAAAGGAGAGGGCTCAACAAAGAGAGCAATACGTCTGGGCCTTGAAGCCGCCTCGGATTCAAGCAAAGGGGGAGGGTTTTCCTCCTCCTCCTCCACCTCTTCTTCCCTGCAATCTTTCAAGCTCATATTCTTAGAAACCACAAAGGGTGTTCGCATACTCTTCAAAGAACCAGTCTTTACGCAAAAGGGTCTTCTTCTTGAAGCAGAAACTTCAAAGAAATCAGGTGTATATGAAGCAAGCGAAGGACTAGAATGGGTACGGAAATGGGAAGGGAACGAAGGATTTATAGACACAGAAATGGTCATTGCAGCAGCTTGTTTCAAAAGGTGTTAAATAAAGGTGGAATTATTGGAGTATATCAACTAGTATCAAAGTCTCAACTATCAAGTAGCTGGTGTGAAAAAGGAGAGAGATCATATGGGACCGGACTTTTGAAAGGATATTCCTTTACAAAGAGAGCGGGGGTAAAGTGTGCAAGAGAAGAATCGGACCCTTTAGAAGGCATATGCTTTCCCCGTCTTCGCTTCAAGGCATCTGGGCAGTGCCTTCGACCGACCCCATATCCATCCATTCACTCCGATTCCGAGTGTTGTTTGTGAATTGACACTTCGGGAAGACGGGAGTCTGGACTTCTTTTTAAACGGGTTTCGGTCTTTCGGACTGACCCAAACACCGAGGACTTTTACGCCCGACTCCAATCTGGGTCTAGCAATCGAAATCTGGGTTTGACCCGCATATGTTTTCGATCGGTCTACTGACTACGGAGTATATCATCTTGAGTTTAGATACGCCCCTAAATATTTGCCACATTTGTATTTCCGAGTCAAAATATTAAATTTTTTCAATTCATTTTATTTACATATTGATATAGAAATAAAAAATAAAATTTACATATCAAAAAACTACATGAAAAGTTCTTCGAAATAAGAGGTGTCAAGAATATTTTATTTTATCAAATACTCCCTCCGTCCCACTATATTTGTCCACTTTCATTTTTGCACACCATCCAATACACTTCGTTAATCCATTTTATCTTGTAATTTGTATATTAAAAAATTATAAAAATTATATATTAATAATCTATATGTTAAGACAAATCAAACAAGATCACGCATGACTATATTTAGGCTTATACATTGAGAGAATTTGATGAGTCAAAGTGCTTAGATAAACAGTTCCAAATGTCAAAAGTGGACGAATATAGCGGGACAGAGGGAGTAACCAATGAAAACATAGAAATAAACAAAAGTTCCCGCGACTGCTGAAAAAGCAAATGTTGCAAATAATTTGGGACGGAGGGAGTATCTTATACGGAGTATTTGAAATATGCACTAAAATACTTTATTATATACTCTCTCCGTTTCCCTAAGATGTTCCCATTTTGATTTTTAAGGAAATTTGAAAAAAGATGAAATTTGGGAATTGGGTCGAATGACATGTGTCAAAATTAAAAGAGTGACATGTGTTAATATTTAGAAATGACATGTGGCAATTTTTAAAAATTTATTTTCTGTTTTAGTGTTTCATCTCCTTCTCCATCCTTCTTCAATTATTTCATCTTTTTAACTATGTTTTTAAAAAATGTAATTAATTATTTTGAATTCATGAATCTAAATTTAGAATTAATAGAATTTGTAAATTTTAATAAAATTTTATTTTATCACAAGTATACATGAACATTCTTTTAATACCTGGCTCGGATTTAATAAAATTATAAAATTTTCAAACAAACTTTTAGGTGTATGAATATCTTTTAAAGAAAATATTGTAATCATGTCAATTATAAATCATACAATTCATCAGAAGATCTAAAAAATTATTTTATTTGTCAAATGATCAACAAAAATATATTTAAAAAATTAGTCAATATAATTAAAAGCAAAACAAATTAAAACAAAATCAGAATTTTAAGCACTTATTAAAACAATCAGTCAATAGAATAAAAAGGAAAGGAAATCATTTTTTATAGAAAAGTAAATAGAAAGTAAAAAAACTAAAAAAAGATGAAAACTTTAAGCATTTATTGATAACAATTTGATCTACTTATATTTATAAACATATTTAATACAAAGTAAATATAATAATTGTTTAAAAATATATCAACTACTGAACTTAAAATTAATAAAGATTTCTCTTAATATATAATTAACTTGTTTCTATAATAAAGAAGATATTCTATCCATCTCTATAATTTTTCATATTTTTTAATTTATACGGAGTATTTGATATAAAAAAAAGTTAATTACTCCCTCCGTCCTCCAGTTTTTGTCCACTTTTAACTTTTGAAACTGTTCATCTAAGCACTTTGACTCATCAAATTCTCTCAATGTGTAAGCCTAAATATAGTCATGTGTGATCTTGTTTGATTTGTCTTAACATATACTCCTTCCGTCCCAAAAAGTTTATTACGTTTAGAAAAAACTGCGTCTCGTAAAGTCCGTTACGTTTTTTTAAAAAACCACTTTCACCCTTACTTTTTCATACCCTACCTATCACATCATACCGTTTTTTAATATTCTACCTATCACATCCTACTTTTATCCATCACAGCAAGGGTATTTAATTTTTGGAAAGTCAATACCAAAATATCCCTCCCTTAATTTCCAAAAAAGTCAAATCGTCCCATTCTTTTTGGGACGGAGGGAGTAGATTATTAATATATAATTTCTATAATTTTTTAATATACAAATTACAAGATAAAATGGATTAAAGAAGTGCATTGGATGGTGTGCAAAAATGAAAGTGAACAAATACTCTGGGACGGAGGGAGTATTATTATATATATTTAAATAAAAAATATATATTTAAATAAAAATAGTATTTAATAAGAATCATTAATTCTTTATATATAAAAATGATACATAGATCACAAAGTATATATTTAATAAAACATATATTTAAAAGAAAAATATATATATTTAATAAAAAATTTATTATACTACTTTATCAAGTACTCCGTAGTATATATTAGTCTAGAAGAATATTAGTATAATTCACATAAAAATTTAAGACAAATAAAGAATCATTAATTCTTTATACATAAGAATGATAGTTTGATCACTAAGAAACTAACATATGTCATATTTATCCGGGTTTTTTAGACACCTAATATATCTAAATTATAAACTTCTCTCATTTATAACAAAATTTTAGAATAATAAATAAAATATTCACTTCACATAGAAATAAATTTTATATTTGTTCATAAGTTTAAATGAGATAGTCTACTGAGAGGATATTGATATTTGAACAGGATGTTGGTGATTTGAAACTCATTTTATTTGGAATTCCTGATTAAGACTTTTGTGAAACACATTTGAGGAAGTTCTTTGTGCTTTATGCCCTTTCTCCTAAGCTCTAAGGGTATGTTTGGATTGAGATAGTTAAAGTTTTTTTAGGTAGGTAATTAAAGATAATTGAAGGTAGGTAATTAAAAAATTGTGTTTGGATATTTATTAGGTAATTCAAGGAAGGTAAAATAATAAAATTACTTAAACACACCCTTGTATTTATTTTTTCTTTATTATTTCATTGTATTTATCTCAATTTAAGTAATAACAAAATAAACTCCGTCCGAATCAAAATTTAACACAATTCACTTTAATAAACAATAAAAAACACTTTGTAGCATATTGCAATAAATAGCAAAAAACAAAACCAAAAAAACGTAAAAAAGAACATAAAAAAATATGATATTTCAAAAAAAACAAAAGAAAAACAGAAAATGAAACTCCAAAAAACGAAAAAAAAAGAAAAGGAAAACATAAAAACATGAAAGAAACAAAAACAGACAACAAAAATAAATCGCAAAAAGGGGAAAAACAGAAAACAAACACAGTAAAAAAAGAGAAATGCTAGAGTCACAAACATTTCAGTCACAAAATACACAAACTTGCTATTTGTGTATTTAAATATTTACTTTTTAATTATTTAACATCATTTTATTCACTTGGTGAGGTGCACAAATAGCAAGTTTGTGTATTTTGTGACTGAAGTGTTTGTGACTATAGCATTTCTCGTAAAAAATTGCAAAAAAGGGGAAAACACTGAACAGATCTGGAGAGTCGAAGAAATAACCGAAAGAAGAAGAAGAAGAAGGGCAGAGCGGAACTTACCTCCAAGATCTGCCATGGGAGAGGAAGAAAGGAGAGAATAGAAAAAACAGAGAATAAAGAAGAATCAGAAGAAAGGTGAGAAAGGAGAATCGAAGAAAGGAGAGAAGGACAGCAGCGGAACAAATAAAAGTTACCTAGTTTGATCGCGTTTTAGGCGGTAGCCATTTTTACACTATTGGGCGGTAACCTTACCTCTCTTCACCTCCCCTACCTATCACCATTTTCTCTCCCAAACAAGGTAAGGTTTAAATTTAACCTTACCTTACCTCCACCTACCTCAATCCAAACACACCGTAAATCTTTTTATGATTCTAAATAATTACTATTTCAATCTTCACAGTTGAATCATTTACGTGTAAGGACAATCTAGTAGTTGTATGTGGACATTTCAACCATTAACTCTAATTACAAAGCCCTTTTTAACCGCGAGAGTGCGGTTCCATTTAAGTGTGAGGTGAGAGTTTATGGTTGAAATGATCTCTTTAGAATTTGTTTGGTCTATATATTTGCAAGAAAAGTTCTTATAAAACAGTCATCAACGTCTTTGTTGTATAATTAATTGACTTTTAGTTATCACACATAAAAATTGGAAATTTTTAAATTTTTTGTCAAACTCATATTTTTGCTCCAACTTTTTGGAAATGAGGATTGATTTGGTTGATTTGGGATAAATTCACAATTTACTAATCTTTTTAAAGATCAATCAATTTTTAAGTGCTTTATTGAAAATCTTTTTGCAAGTGCTAAGCTATCCTCAGGATAATGGGTATTTGTTATTTCTTTAAAAGAGTTATTTCCAAAGTATAAGGGGTGACATCTTAAAGCATATTTTTGTGAGACTGAGATTTTTGTTTTGGCCAAAAAACATGCAGTTCTATGTCGTGTGATGAGACTTTCTGGAGTGTCTATCTAAAAGCCCGTGGTTCTAAGTCACGGGATGAGGATTTTTCTCTTGTCAACATGACAAAGTTACGTTCAAGAAAATAAAACTCTTACATTTTGACAATTAGTCTTGTAGGAACTTGTTTTCCAATTTAGCCATTAAAGGCTATTTGATCTTAAACTACTCTTACAAGGAATGTTTGAAAGGTTTTGGTTATTTAGGGGGAGAAAGACCAAATTAAAGTAGGACTAAAACATTAAAAATATACCAAAATAAGACTTCCATGTTTTTATTCCCGAAATAGGACTTACATTACCATACATGGTCATATACATTACCAAAAAAGTATAGTAATTTGCACATGTACACCGCCACATTACCACAGGGCAAAGTCACATTACCACAGTGCAAAGTCCTATGTTTTGGTACTTATTTTGGTACTTTTCTTTATGTTTTAATCCTATTTAAGGTGATTTCTATTATTTAGGTTGGTATAAAAATATGAGTTT